TTAATCCCCAAAATTATTCACAATTTTTCCCCAAATTCTGTTTTTTTTTTCTTCTTTTTCAGAAGAACATTATCATCTATACAAAAATTTTCCCTTTTTTCTTCAACAAAAAAAAAATAAATCAAGCAAAGAAATCAGCCATACTCTTCTTCTTATTAGGTGGAGCAATGGGACCCGCCGGCGATCGGAAAACCTTAGTAACGACGTCGTTTTTACACCAATGAAACGGCACCGTTTCATCCATCATTCCTCCTCTCACAGCAGCATTATAACAAACATCACAGAAAACAGAGGAAGACGAAGAAGACGCAGCATCATCACTGAAATTACCATAATACCCTCCACCTCCACCATACCCAAAACTCAAATCTTCATAAACATTCGAATTCAAATTCATCGACATCATATACTTCTCCCTTTCTCTCTCCACTTCTTGAATCAACCTCATCCGATTCACATACTCCAAATATTCATTCAAATTATAATTCCCAAGATTATTACCGATATTATTATAATTAAAATTATTATCTCTTCTCAGCAGAACAAAATCATAATTATTACCATTAATTGCAGGATGATTCTTGGGTTTACGCCTTCGTGTGCGACGAGAACGCTTCTGGACGACATAGAAGGAGGAATCGGATTCATTCATGGCGCTCTCGAAATCGAATTTGTTCGTAACAGCATGACGACGACGATGATGATGGTGAAAATCGTTGAAATTAGGGCGTTGAAAATAGATTGTGATTTGATGGGGTGAAATCTGGAGTTTAGAACTTAAGATAGATTGAAAGGATTTGAAGGTGAGAGATGGGTTGATTGGGACAGTACCCACATCGATTTCTCTTTCTCCATCGAAGAATGTTACAGGAAACAGAGTAATTGTTGATGGATCTTCTGAGAGGAGATTGAGATTGGAATTGGTGGTCTCCATCATCTTGTTCTTCAAATCTTTTCTGGGTTTTTTTAGAGAGAGAAAGTGAGGGAAGAGGAGAGAGAAAGTGGGAAGGAGGGAGGTTGAAGAAGAAGAAGAAGAAGGGGTTTATATTGGCGGTTTATATGGTATGTTGTGTAAGGCGGTGTTGCCTTGGAGGCCAAGTACTTGGGTTTTTTTTTAATTCTTTTATTTTTGGAATTTTTTTTTTGTAAAAAAATCAAGTACTCGTAAAAGTAAAATTTTAGGAGAAAAATTAAAAAAGAAAGAAAAAGGGATTTATTACGGGATTATTTTTAAAAAAAAATTTGTTTTACCGGTTGGGTAAGTGGCACGTGTACACTGTTAGTTGCTTGGGGAAGGGTCTAAATCTCTGGAATATGTTTTTACAATATTAATAAATTTACAGCTGTGGTAATTTTTTTATTTTAAGATTTTATACAAGTATTGGGGAATATGATAAGGGAGTTCGTGGTAATTTCAGGTAAATTTTTAGGATGGTTCGAGGAAAAAGGGGAATTATTTGCAATTTTATTTCTGTTTTTGGTGAGGAAGTAATAAAGAGGAGTAAATGTCCCCCCCCCCCCCTTTTTTTTTTTTTTTTTTTTTTTTTTTTGTGAAAGAAGGGGAGTAAATGTCATTGTTGTTAGTTACACGGTGTAAATGAAACTTATAGGCTAAGTTTTAGAAATGAGGAGGAATGTTCTAAGAATGAACTTTGATTTTGATCAAACATAATATTGACTAGACTTGATTGACTTATTGAGCTACTCACTCCATTTTTTTTTTAAATGTATTACTCTGTATGTAATATTTGAGGTTTTGCACTATTTACCAATTACCTTTGATTTAATATTTTTACTACTCCATACTATATATTTTATAAACAGTCAAGTAATTAAGTATTGTTAAATTTGTTATATTGTCTGCTTTTATAATATAATTTTGTTATAATTTTTACTAATATCTAATTATACATTTTGATTATTAAAGATGTGCCTTTGTAACCATGAAAACTCAAATGATGCATTTATAAAACAGAGGGTAAAATTTAATTTGAGTAAAACTTTAATTTCTTTATCTTACAAAATAATCGATACATTTGACTTTTTTTTTTTTTAAAAAAAAAAAAACCTCTTTGTATATTAATTAACTTTGATTGATTTTGTTATAATGTATAAAAAAATGATTATGAATAAATATGAACTCTATATTATTAATATGGAGTATTAATTGAATTCATGTGTATTTTCTTCGTGAGTTTTCAATATGCCCCTAATGCCTTCCTAAAAGCTACACCAATGACAAGCTAATTTGATAATTAACTTGTCATGCTATGTAAGTTTTTATAGCTAATTATTATTTGGAAAAATTGTCAGGAACTACATGCTAAATAGGGGTATTTGGAAACAACAACCCACTAAAAAATTTTATCAAAAAAACTACCCTCTAAATTTAAAAAGTTAGAGTAGCACTACCCATTTGCATTTTTCAACGAGAAAGTCCGGCATGTGGGGCCCACTTTTTCAATATTTCTTCTAAAAATTCCTAATTGAAGAAGTGAAAACAAGTAGGGTATGCAATTCATAGGTAATTCTTCTCTTTTAATCCATTGATTATGAATTTTGATGTTAGAGTGTAACGATAAGAAAAATTAGGGTTCTTAGAAATTGGAGATAATTTGAAATTGGTTGAATTTATTGCTTTTAATTCAAATTGGTTATCTTAGGGTTACGAATTAAGGTCCAATTTGTCATTGCATCGTGTCTTTTCAGAGAAAAATTGAAAAAGTGGGCCCATGCGCCGGATATTATTGTCGGAAAAATGAAAATGGGTATTGCTACTCTAACTTTTTAAATTTAGGGGTAGTTTTTTTGATAAATTTATTTAGTAGGTAGTTATTTCCAAATATCCCTATTAAGCGTGTAGTTCCTGACAAATTTTCCTTATTATTTTAATTACTTTTTGCTCCCATGACTAGCTGTTTAAGTGTCAATACATCTTAGTGAAAATTTATGAGAATAAAGCATTATTGAAGGTATAATTTATTAATTAACATTACCAAAATTAATTAAGACTCCACTACGAATCTAATACAACGACCACTTAGCAAATGGACTACTCGGTATAAAATTACATTCACGTGTTTATTATTCACATTACATGTGATTTTCAAGGCATATGTAATTTTCAACCCAAAACTGAACAATTGTTAAGAGTATGTAATACCCGTAATTTCTAAGAATTAGAAAACCACATGCATTGTAATTTCGCTTCAATTCTATACCAAACAATCAATTAAGCTAAGTATCAATTACTAGCTACTCGTAGTTTATATGGATAATTGATTGCCAGAAAGATTTACTGGTGGTCAAACAATAAGTTTGACCAAAATCTTCAAATTTGGATAATTGATTCATATTTCATATATTCAGACTAGTCAATATTGACTAGAAGCACAGACTGTTGAACAAGACAACAATAGTTATTTGATTAAGCGTCTAGAACTTAATTAATAAAACCAATATATAACAGTTGAATATGATTAAGCTAGCTCGGCTCTTTGCTTCCAACATAAGATTTGGTCTATTCAGCTTGGTCCTCCTTAGACATTATTCTAACATTCTAAGGAAATATTCAATTTTTTTGTTGCTTGAACTTGTCCTCTCATTGACATTTTCTCTTTTCATTATTTAAGTGCAAGCACACTAAATATATTATACCAATTTTTTCATGACTTGAATATTAACTATATAGTATAGTTGTGAACATGTGACCTAAGAAACGCCATTGATATTTCAAAACAATTTCAGGTGAATTTTCCAGTAGTTGACACTTTATTAGATATGCTCAAGATATAGAGATGGCAAACATGTTCATATGAAATTGCTCGGGTTAGCTCAATCATCCTTCATTTAACAATACCGAGTACAATTACGCTACCCACGAGTAAAAATTTTGGTATCCATATATACCCTCTCTTTTTTATTTATTTTATAAATATTCTAGTACTTAAGTCATGGCATGACCCGACAAATGGGTCATTTAGGTCGGGCAAGGCACGGGTCGGGTCGCTTAATCATCCTCAATTTTGATGGTAAATAGGTTTGAGATGGAAAATAGGTTGTTTGAAATTGCTCGGGTTAGTTCAATCATTCTCAATTTTAATAGGTTTGCGACAAAACCTCAATAACGACTAGCACAATTTTGAATAGGAGTGATCGAGTAAAAAGATCATATGGATAATTAGCCTTCATCAATCAGTATTCTTAGGCTAATCTTTATTCCTATATGGTAATAGCATTACAACAGTGTGTGAATAATGTAAAATTTCTCGTTAAAAAGATAATGTAAAATTTAAAGTGTGTATTTTCATGAAGGAAAAAAAAAAAAAAATCAAGTATAAGTACAAAGTATTTAGAATTGGTGAAAATGTCCTTTCTATTGGGTTCGATTGGGGTCAAGCTTGGCTAAGTTCTCATAATCGAAGTGATGAGTCAATTGATTTGATTATATACCACATGAATATCAGTTTGCATTAAATTTAAGTCTTTTAAATGATTTTAATAGAATATAAAATCATTTTAAGAACTCCAACCAATAGTTTAAGCATACATTTCAACTAATATAATTTAAGCTTATATTTGAGTTGGTCTTCAACCATATCATCATACTTAATGTCACGAATTTAAATTTCATCTATATAGTGAAATATTTAATACGGTGTACCTATGTTTGCATCCACCTTTCAACTAAGCCATATAACAACAATCGGGAGGAGACTGAAACCTAACCATTCAAAACTGATCCCCGAATCTATAAATTAGCCCAAAGGGTAAGAGGAATAAATCCTAAATATTTTAAATGCAAATTCGAATGAATTGAAGACTACGGATGTTTCAAGATGTTGGACTCTCTGGAGAAGTTATAGTAAGAACTAACAAGTGTTATCTAGTAGTCTCATCAAAAGAACAGAACAGAAATCATCATATTTTATAAAGTAATTATTTAATTAAACCGCCAATAGTAAGCTACGTGGCTACCTACCTAATAACTTATATATAAACGTGGCTAACAACCTAATATGAGTGTGAATTATATAATATATATACTCATCAACTTATTCCAAGTATATATAATCTAGATTTTGCTAGAACAAATACTTCACAAACCAAAAGAGAGAATTAATTTGAGAGAAAACGAATTGAAAAAAGAAAAGAAAAATGCATCGAGCAACATTTGTTCCAGCAAATGATAAAATGGAGTACTTCAAATTGATGAGTGATCATACTATCCCTTGCGTTGGTTTGGGGACATGGAAATCTGGCTCTCAAGCTCGTTACTCCGTTGAAAGTGCCATTGTCGAGGTATGGTGTATTCTTGTTTTTAAAATGAACTAGTTTTTGGACTCGAGCAACGTGTTAGGCTATTGTACAAATGTTAGTAATCAAATTCTTTTTTACTTTATTTCTTCTATGTATAAGATAACATGCATGTACTTGTCATAATCAGCAACGGTAATGATAATAGTTTATATACTAGTAAAATAAGTTTGTGGGGAAAATTCATGTCTATAACTATTGTAATGTTAGCCCTTCCTCAAATAACTCATTATGTTCACAAATATTCATTTTTTTTAAAAGGTGGTAGATATTAGTGAAGTAATGGGAATTTATGAACAAAATCACATGTTTGAAGGTAATAAAGATTAGATGATCATATACATGGTCATGATTATAATGAACACATTAGAAATCCTAACAAAATTAAACAAACATCCATTACCCTATGATTTACTATACCTTACAAAAACGTGGTTTTAGTGTTAATTTTAGTGTGTGTGTGGGTAAATAATCTTGTAGAGCTTAATCTTGATAACAATATACGGTTACACTTCATTTTTTCAAACACCAAGAAAATAATTGGAATTAGTGGAATTTAAGAGAAGAATAATAGAATGGTAACTATAGATTTACTAGTTTAAGTCCATGTTTAATTTTTAGTTGGTTTTTAATATAGGTTAATCGATAATCGTGTAAAAATAGTTAATGTGGATTGGGCCTATTCATGAGTCGGGTTTTGGCTAAAAATCAGGCCCATTTTCACGCCAACAATGTAATAAACTAATAATGGATTTTTTTTGGTGCAGGCTGGTTACAGGCATATTGATACAGCTTGGGCATATGATATAGAGGAGGCGGTAACTTGACTCTTTCTCTATGATTTTTTTTTTTTTTTTATTTATTTATTTAAGCATACTATTTTATATTATTTGATATTAATTTCCTATAAAGATAGCTTTAACTCCTTTTATTACTGCACAAATTTGATTTGTAGCATTTGTTATCAGGTTGGTGATGGCATTAAGGCTGCAATTCATGCTGGAGTTGAAAGGACTGACCTTTTTGTCACCTCTAAACTATGGTTTATTTCTACACCTTTTATATAATTATTACAATTACAACTTAATTACAAGTTGTTATAAACGGAACTGCGGGAACAAAAACAGTAAGAACAAAGTTACCGAAAATTAGACTGAGTCGCGGACTATGTCGCTTTCTTTAGAACATTCACGGCACTGCCCTGAAAATGTGCAAGCAGTTCGTACTAAACCGGATGTTCCCCAGGATAAAACAGCCTTTCTCTATTGTAATTATACCGGTGAAACTGCACAAAACCACCGGGCAACTAAACACCAAAAAGAAAAGAAACTGCTCGAGGGTTTTGTTTTTGTGAGGAAAAATAGAGAGGAGAAGAAGATTGCTTTCTGTATTTTTTTTGTGTCTTAAAAACAGGAAATCAACACGCCTTTTATAGGCAAAATTGCAACGTAACTGCTGCTGTTTAATTAGGCACTAATCACGCAATTAAAACGGTCATAAGTTGAACGTTCAAAACGGTTACAGAAGATTAATGCGTGGCAAAACGTTAGCAAAAATCAAGGAACTAATCACGCAATTAGCCTTGTCCAAAAAATAAGTTTATTTAATAAACCCGACCCAACCCAACCCGGCCCGGCGCGCGTGTGATAGATGGTTTACCATATAGGTCCTCCCTCTCCACAAAATGTGGGTAGCCCAAGGGCCACACCCCTTTAGCCCACTCTCTATATTATAAAGAGAGTAAAACTCTCATTTCCCACCAATGTGGGACTTTGAGTTTTTTCACAAAATTCACACACTACACACTTGTTGTTCCAACACAAGTCATATAATCGCGTAAACTAACTTGTTTACTTTTTTGTTGAGTTTGTAGGTGCACTGATTTGACTCCAGAGAGGGTTAGACCAACATTCGAAAACACCCTTAAAAAACTTCAACTTGATTATCTTGATCTTTACCTTGTAAATTATCTTACCTTCTTAATCACATCTTATTTCTTATTTTATGTACCTTGGTCTTTTATCTGTATTAGTATGACCCAAATAAACACTTATGCTAGGCTATTTTTATTGTTTGTTTTGTAGATCCATTGGCCATTTCGCTTAAAGGAAGGTGCAAGCATGCCACCAAAAGCAGGGGACGTGCTAGAGTTTGACATGAAAGGAGTATGGAGGGAAATGGAGAGGCTTGTCGCCGATGGCCTTGTTAGAGACATTGGCATTTCCAACTTCACTGTCGCAAAGCTTACCAAGCTAGTGACTTTGGCTCTTGTTAAGCCTTCAGTTTGTCAGGTAAACATACAAATTGCCTAATAATAGGGACTTTGTCAAATAAGTACACTTGTAAACAATTAAGATAAACAACAATTTGGTTTTATAAGAGTGATTTGAATTTTGCTTTTTCTTTGCTATATGATTAATGATCTTCATGAATTGCCATTGCAGATGGAGATGCACCCGGGATGGAGGAACGAGAAGATGCTCAATGCTTGTAGGGAACATGGCATCCACGCCACTGTAAGATGTCAAATTTACCTTAAATATAACATGAATTGTGCTCTTAAGTACCCATGTCTGAGGAAATGTTATATTTGGCACCATGGTACCATGTTCAATAATAAAAAGTAGATATATAGACATGATCATGAACACTTTAATAGAGACAAATACAAGTAACATGAAAATTTTCGAACATAGTTGAGATTGACCCTTGAACGTAGAACTAGTGACATGGAAAATTTTGCGAATTGAAGTCAACTTTTTCTAAAATTACATGAGTTATATACTCTAGGTAACGATTTATCATAACATTATGTACTAATGTAATACTAGTAGTAGTACAAAATTCTCAGCATTTAGTTGATTTGTTATGTGTACGTTTACTCACCTTACTACAAATGGTTTGTAAGAGGTTAATAACTTTTCACATTACATCTTTGAGCACATCAATATAATCCACAATATGAAATTATTCTGAAAATGGGTGGTGTTACAATATTTTGGGGCAGGCATACTCGCCGTTAGGTTCAGGAGGGAAGATAGACTTGTTGAATGATCCAGTGGTGGTGAAAGTAGCAAAGAAGCTAAAAAAGACACCAGCTCAAATACTTGTAAGATGGGCATTGCAAAGAGGGACTAGTGTCATCCCTAAGTCGAGTAACCCGGATAGAATCAAGGAAAACATACAGGTTTTCGGGTGGGAAATTCCTCAAGAAGACTTTGATTCTCTTTCAGCTTTCAAAGAACAGGTAAGCTATTTCTGTGAATTTGAAACCAGAATTTCTTTTGTTTAAGGTTGTTGATTACACTGTAAAATTGTTGTAGAAACGAATCATAGATGGCGAAAATCTGTTCGTGAACAAGACGGAGGGACCATTCAAGAGCGTGGAAGAGCTCTGGGACTTTGAAGATATTCCTCCTCTAAAGATTGCTCCTTAAATTCTCTTATGAGATAATAAGAAAGGAAGATTATCTAAATCGACGTCTTGTAATCTTTTTATTTCTCTCCAATAAAATGTAAACTATATAGCAGTGTAAAATAACATATAATTGTATATGTTATTTGTACTTATTAATGTTCTATGTTTTTTCGTTTGTGATCGTTAAATTTACTTGGCATAATAGCTACTCTGTATCAAGTAATGCATAATGCATTAGCATTTATGTGAATCAATTCTTATTAAAAGAACTTGATAGTGATATGTTGTTGAAGTTCATGTTGCCCATATAATAGATTTTGCATAACGGGCGAATTTCACCTAAAGAGCAAGCTATGAATGAAAGTGAGCCAATTTAAATTAGAAAAGATAAAAGAGCTACAAATGAAGCATATTTCCTTGCGCATCCGTGAATTTCAAGCCTTGCTTCAGATGAAGTTTTTAATTTTTTCTTTCATTAATCATGGCTGGCGGTGATGAAACACCTCCACCACCTACAAAAATCGAGCCAAATTCCCCATATTACCTCGGGTCGCAAGATCGACCAGGGGATTTTATTACTCCTACACGTCTCACAGCAGACAACTATGACTCTTGGGCTGCCGACATTCAAACGGCGTTGGAAGCTCGGAGGAAGTTCGACTTTCTTGATGGAACAATCAACGAACCATCACCTCCTTGCACGAAATCTGATTGGACGGCAATTAATGCTATGCTAATTTCTTGGATTACAAATACGATTGATCCACAATTAAAATCCTCTTTGTCAAAATTTCGAGAAGCTAAACCCTTTTGGGATCACCTAAAACAACGCTTCTCTCAAACTAATGGCCCCCGAATTCAGCAACTTCGTTCGCCATTTGCTAAGTGCGAACAGAGCAAATTAATGACTGTTTCTGAGTACTTTGGCAAATTACATATTCTGTGGCAGGAGTTGGATCGTCATGAGCTTCTGATTTCTTGCTCTTGTTGTGCTTCGTGTTCAGCTGGCAGATTACATGAAGAACGCCGAGCACAAGCACGTTTACATGATTTTTTAATAATGGGTTTGTACCTTGATTATTACTCCTCACTCCGCACAAATATATTGTCTCAAGATCCTCTTCCGAGCCTTGACAGAGCTTATCAATTGGTGACTCAAGAAGAACGAGTTCGCACTTCACGTTTGGAGGCCGAACTCAAAGCTGACTCAAAGCCGACAGAAGCTGTGGGCTTTGCGGTTCGAGCAGGACATGATCGTGGCGACCTACATGAAGAGGTTTACATGAAGCTCCCCCCCGGGTTTGACAGCCCAGATCCTTCTTTGGTATGCAGATTGCGCAAGTCATTGTATGACTTGAAACAAGCTCCTAGGTGTTGGTATGTGTAGGGAATAATTTCAAGCCTTTAAAATCCCACTAGCTTGAACCCCACTGTGATCATACACTAAAGTACGGTGGCGTCCAAAAGGGAAGAAGATAGAGCAAAAGAGTCGCCAACAAGTTTTTAAGGAACTTGTAAACTGTTCACGAGGTGAAGGTTACACCCCTTAACGATCCAAGAGATCGTCAACTCCATAAGGTCATGAACCAAATAAGGGTTCGAGGATGAAGGTACAAATCCAACCTAAAAGAGATTGAACCTGCCCTAATAATAGGCCTCTACTTTATTCTGCTCGTATTCATGTGCGCTTTCTGACTAACATATAATCAATAGATTTAACCCTAAACCTGTTTAATCTATATTGGTTGAATATTAATGCACAAATAAATCTATTATTGGCGATCACTTGAATTATAATCACAATTAACCTAACAAGATTATTAATTATCTTATTAAGCGTGATTACAAGAACCAAAATTCCCTTTAAACAGGCAATGAAGGTGATCAAGCAATAAATAATAAATAATCAAGCAACACAACAAATAATCATAATCATGTTCATGTTAATATTTAAGCATAATAAACATAGCAAGATCCTAGGCATGATACTAACAAGATTAATAACAAACCCTACCATGTCACTAAGCAATAAAAATCAAATCTTTAACCCTAACATGATACTAGCAATCATAAATATTAGGAAGAACATAGGAAGCATCATAGAAATCATATTTAATATTAAAATTACCCTAGACATGATACTAGAAATATCATAATAACAATATAAACATGATTTCTACATCATAATATCAATAAATCAATTAAAGTACTTATTTTGATGCCTCGTACCTCTTTCTAATAACAAAATACACGCGTTAGTAATTTCAAGGAAAATAATAATCAAAACAACTAAATTAAATAATTGAAAGAGAGATTTGGGACCAAACCCTCAGAAATTAAAACCTTTCACGCCTAGGACGAAGGCAACTTCGAATATGGATAGGTGTTTCTAGATCTTGTGAATGCGGAATTTTGTATGAAAGAGCAAGAAAGAATTGAATGCTAAAGAATACTTGAGAATGAGAGAATTGGTGAATGTAGATGATGAATTCGTGAATAAAAACGGAGTTTTTGATACGATATTTATAGAGAAAATTAGCCAAAAATGATAATTTAACAAAACAGAGTCTGACGCATGCAAACAGGATTGGCGCCAACCCTGGCTAGCTGGCGCCAAGGCCTGGGGTTGGACGCCAGTCTTGATTCTAACGCGTTTTCGAAAATCCGATAAGTTTACCGTACTGGAGGATAAAATAATATAATTTCTTCGAAAATGCTATTTGATTTTGATTAAAACTCTGAAAAGTCAACAAAGTCAACTTATCAATGTTAATTGAATTAGGAATGAAAAGAACCTTCTAGAAGGTTCTAGAAGACTAAAACCATTCCTAATTGCATTAGGAATGATAAATCATATTAGGCCCTCCCCTAGATTATTGGGCCGTACATAAAGCTCAAACCGGGCCCAGTTTAGTAAATTGGCCATAACTTCCTCAATATTCATCGGAATTGGGCTTATAATATATCGTTGGAAAGGTCTTTGCAAGCCCCATCCAACTACACCATTATTGGACCCATATCATGGACCAACCAAACTGGATTGGTGATAACTTGCTATTTTATGCGGTTTTAGGGCGTATTTGAACCTAGTTTACCTGAACAAATTTGTGTTTTGGTTCACTTTTACCCTATTATTATGCAATTTTTGTGTATCCTATGCTTCACGGGTTGTTAGTGTTTTTGTTGAGATTTTAGGTCCAAAGACGACCAAATGAAGCCCATGGTTACCAAACCGAGGTTAGAAGCAAGGAAATGATGGAAAGAATCCAAGTACAAGAGCATCGTAGAAGAAAACACGAAGAAAAGGGCCCAGAAGACCCTGCACGGCCGTGCAAGATGTTGCACGTCCGTGCAGGAGTGCAGACCTGAAGCCATCTTTCTGCCAAGGCCTGCACGGACGTGCCAAATATTGCACGTCCGTGCAGATGATGCAGCACGGACGTGCTTCCGTGATTATGAGGCAGCACGGCCATGCAAGATGTTGCACGTCCGTGCAGGAGTGCAGACCTGAAGCCATCTTTCTGCCAAGGCCTGCACGGATGTGCCAAATATTGCACGTCCGTGCAGATGATGCAGCACGGACGTGCCAAAGGTGCACGCCCGTGCTGCAGCAGGTCGTCTTAAACTGAGTTTCTGCCTTGGTCTGCACGGACGTGCCAACTTTAGCACGTCCGTGCAGACCTACAGTTTACCCGTTTCTTGTTTTCACCGTCCTCTTATTTTAGGGGGTAATATAAATAGCCCCTTTGGACCATTTTAGAGGGGTTCCCAATTTTTCCAGATTTTCATACTCCTCTTAGTTTGAAACACAAAAATCCTCAAATTAGCATAGATTTTAGTTCTTGTTTTGAAGGTTTTTCAATCCAATCATTGTAGAAGACAAGTTCCACCATTGTTGGTCAATTATTGAAGCTTCTAGTAATTTTTCTTACTCTTTCTTTCTCTCTTCTATCTTTAATTCTTGCTTTTTATTAATTGTTTGGTTGTTCTTTGCATGTTTGATTGTTAGATTCTACTTAATTCTTAGTTTTAATTTGTTCATGAATTCCTTGAAATCTTTAATTGCATTAACTTCCATGGATTGTGAGTAGTCTAATTTCTAGGGTTTGGGTGAACCCTCAATGTAATCACCAACACTTGTTGCATGTACTAATTTGTTAATTGTGGGGTGTTAATTAGTTGAGTTTAAGAGGTTTCATTGTTAATTCTTGTAATTGGCCATTGCTTGAATTATTTATCTAGCTTCCTCAACGAAGGATCGAGAGATGAACTTGAGGAAGCTCCCTTATGCTTGATTGACTTGATTTGCCATGAGAATAGGAATTTCTAGTCAAGGGAATTTGCATGTTATCGTGAGGATGTTTTAACACTTGTTTCTTGCCCATAATCACGAGAGTAGGTTATGGTTTTGATGTCAAGTAATCCCTCTAGCTTGAGAGAGTAGTTGGGTGCATTTGATAACTTCCCCTAATCTATCCCCTAAATCACCATTTCTATGCATGCTACTTGTGGTCCGTGATGAAGTTGAGTGGTGTAACCCATACCCTAGGCCTTCTTAATATTGTTAATCACCTCTTAGAATTAGTTGATTTGAATTAGAATAGTGTGACGTAATACCAACTTAAAACCCCCGACTTAATCTAGCTTGTTTAAACAATAACATTTGGTGGTTGATTCAACGCCTCTCATGGGTTCGACCCTTTCTTGCCCTTGCTACTAGTTGAGTAGGATCGAGTTAGGTCTTATTTCTTGATAGGTTGACGACGTCCTATCAAGTTTTGGCGCCGTTGCCGGGGAGGCAAAGTCACATTGAATAAGTTATTGTTGAATGAGTCTAGATTTGTGTATATGTATATAATCTTCTTATTTTCTTTTTGTTTAAGCGTGTTTACTTTGTGATAGTCATTGCTAACGTTTTCCTTAGCTTTGTTTGACTGTGCATGACACGGAGGAGTAAGCAATCACCGCTTATCCCCGTAGATCCGGAGTTAAATAGAACTTTGAGGAACGTAAGAAGGCTCCTACAAGGCACGCCGGAATTTTCTTCAGCTTATACGGATTCCGAGTCGGAGGATAATCTTGACAACGAGCAAGAGATGGCCAACCCACCGCCTCCTCCACTTCTACAAGACTATGACCACCCCGATGCATTCCAACTTCGGAGTGGCATACTTCTTCCCACCACCAATGCAAACAACTATGAGTTCTCTCCTCAACTCATAAGGATGATCCAAAGTGAACAGTTCGGGGGGAGTGCAAATGAGTGCCCTCTAGCTCATTTAGACAACTTCCTTGAGTTGTGCACTACCATCAAGCAAAACAACCTCACGGAGGAATTCATTTGGATGCATATGTTTC